GTTCCGGGTTCGATTGCGGCCAAGGGCATGTACCTTGGTTGCGGGCACATCCCCAGTCGGGGGTATGCAAGAGGCAGCTGATGGATGTTTCTTTCTCATCAATGCTTCTAACTCTCTATCCCCTTCCCTTCCTCTCTGTGAAAAAAAATCTATAAAACCTATTTTAAAAAAAGAAAAAAAAAAAGATTCTTGCTTTGTCGTTGGTGTTTGCCAATTTAATTATAATGTGCCTTGACGTCACTCTTTTGGGGTTCATTTTGTTTGGGACTCTGTGATCTTCTTGATTTTGTGTGTGTTTTTTCTTCCCTATATCAGGGAAGTTTTCTGTCATTTTTTCAAACGGGTTTTCTATTCCTTGCTCCATTTCCTCTCCTTCTGACACAACTATTATTTGGATGTTGTTTCGTTTTGTGTTGTCCCAGAGTTCTCTTAGGCTCTTTTCCTGCTTTTTAGTTTTTTTTTTCCTAGAAGCTGCTCTGCTTATGTATTTTTTCCTACCTTGTCTTCTAGCTCACTGATGCAGTCCTCTGCTTCTTCTAGTCTACTCTTGATGCTTTATATTGAGTTCTTTATAGCAGTGATGTCGTTTTTCATTTCTTCTTGGTTTTTCTTCATTTCCTCTTCGTTCTTACTCATATTGTTGAATTTGTCTTCCATTCTTTTGATCCACTTTATAGCCATTTCTCTGAATTCTTTCTCTTACAGGTTGCTTGCCTCCATTGCCTCCATTTCGTTTACTTTTTCTGGTTATGCCTGTTTTTCTTTCATATGTGGGCTGGTTCTTTGTCTCATCATGATCTCTCATCCAGGTGTTTGGTTATGTAGTTCTCTCTCTGCTGCGTTGATTTAAAGGCACAAAATACAACACAAGGCACAACATACAAGGCACTGAACACAGATGTATTCACGATATTAATAACCCCAAATAAAGGTGCCCACCCGAGCAAAGAGAATTAGGAGATAAGGAAGAAAGAAGAGAAAAAGGTAAAAGAGAAAAAGAAAAAAAAAGTGCAAAAATTAAATTGGGAAAAGGGAGAAAAAGAAAAAAAAGTAAGAGAGAAAAGAGAGAGAATGAAATAGAAGAGGGGAAGAGACTATTTATATGGGGAGAAAACTCCAAAAGAACCACCACTAATCCCAACAAATTTTAGCAACAGATCCCTGGAGATGAATGCAAACTACAAACAACCACTAATATCAAGCGAGGCGAGGGAAAACAGAAGCACAAAAATAACTGGGGGGGGGGGGGGGGGACAATAGGAAAATAAAAAGAAAAAGCAAAAAAATATCACAGACAAGCATAAAAAACCCCAATATACTCAACAATCAAGCAAACAATAACAAAACGACAGAGAGAAAAAAAATTTGGATAGTGAGGAAAGAGAGAGGTGTATATGGATTTAGAGCAGGGGATTGGAAATTAGATATATAAGTAGCGTGAAAATTAGGGGGCAAAAAGAAGGAATAGGGAAAATCTAAAGCAGGAATAGGGTAGGAGAAACAGGACAACAAAAGGGGAAAAGTGAGGAAGAGAGTTTTGGCATAAAGGTAAAGTTGAGGTAGAGAAAAATGATGCTAAAGGAACGATGAAAATAGAATATAGAACACTAATCCCAAAATAAAATAAGGAGAAAATAAAATGACACTTTAAAAAGTGGTAAAATGGTAATAGTTGTAATACTGTTTAAAAATAAAAATGTAGTAATTAAAAAGGTAAAATCAGGTGATGAAAAAAGAAAAAAAAGTAGTTTCTTTTTTTTTTTTTTTTTTTTTATAAATATATTTTATTGATTTTTTACAGAGAGGAAGGGAGAGAGATAGAGAGTTAGAAACATCAATGAGAGAGAAACATCGATCAGCTGCCTCCTGCACATCTCCTACTGGGGATATGCCCGCAACCCAGGTACATGCCCTTGACCGGAATCGAACCTGGGACCCTTCAGTCCGCAGGCCGACGCTCTATCCACTGAGCCAAACCGGTTTTGGCAAAAAAGTAGTTTCTTAATTAAAAGGTGAAAAAAGAATTTAAAAAAAATGTATAGTAGTGAAGGTGCTTCAGTTCCTCTACTCTTCTTTTTTTTTTTTTTAATATATTTTATTGATTTTTTTTACAGAGAGGAAGGGAGAGAGATAGAGAGCTAGGAACATTGATGAGAGAGAAACTTCGATCCGCTGCCTCCTGCACAATACCCACTGGGGATGTGCCTGCAACCCTTGACCGGAATCGAACCTGGGACCTTTCAGTCCACAGGCCGACGCTCTATCCACTGAGCCAAACCGGTTTCGGCCCTCTACTCTTCTTTTTGGCAAGCCTTAGTCCTGCCAGGTATTCAGGAGATTGTTGAATTCCCCTGCAATACACTCTTCCTCCGTGTTGTAAACTAGTCCTGATTTTAAGGCAGGCCGTATTTGTTTCCCAAACTGCCTTTATTTGTGCTTACAGAAGAGTCAGTTCGTGGATCAGCCCCTGGGTGGCAGTGTTTCTGGATTGACCTCCAAGGCTAGTCCTCTCTATCCAGCAGTTAGGGTTTATTTTTTCTGTCGCACTTAAAACTGGTTTGGGAGAGTCGATTGCCGTAAAACCTGTTCTTTAATCATTACTTCCCACTCTGTTTCACAGGTTCCCCGAAAACAACTTTCCCCTGCAGTCTCTGCGAGTGACCCCAACTGGGCAATCCCATGCACTGGGTTTAATAATCAAACGCAAATATTTAATGGGAAGAGAAAAAACAAGAGCCTGAGTAGTTGTGCGAATTTGCAACCCTCCACCTTCCAGCTCTGTGCGCAGTTTCTTCCGCGTTGCCTCTCCCCCCTGGCACTAATCACTCAGTACACTGGCAAAATCCGAGGCTGCTTTTTTGCATCCAGTCCAGCTATGGGCTTATTTTTAGCGTTCCCTTTTGCCAGCAGCCCTGTGGGAGCCCTTCCACACTCGGGGATCATGCTGGCCCCAACAGCCGCGGACTTTGTGGGGCGCAGATTTCCCCCGCACGTGTTCCTTTCTCCAACCTGAATTGCAAACCACACCTTTAGGTGAAATCTTACCTTTCCGTGAGGAGAAGCAGGGCTCTTCTGAGTCCACATAGTGGACTTGAGATCTGTTGTTTCCAGGTTAGTAGCCAATCTCTGGATGTCGTGGATGCCGTGTCTTTGGATGTATATGCTTCCAATAACAGCCACTCAAGATGGCATGGTCTCCGTGGCTGAGCTGGTGCTCCAGGAGAGATTTCAGCTGCAGTCTCCAACCGTCCCCTTTCTCCGGGAGTCCTCTGTCTTTCCCGGCTGCAAACTGTCTCCCAGCTGAATAGCTTCTGCTTATTCGGGCTGTATGATACCCGTTTCAGCTTCTCACCCTTATCTGCTCCGGGACAAGGCACGGGACACATTGTCTATACCTCCGCCATTTTCCTGTCGGGGTTCAATGCCTTTTGACTATTATGCTTTGTTTACCTTTCCTCTTAGTGCTAGAATAAAAAATTAAATATCATAAAAACTTTTCTTTATGGCCTAGCCAGATGGCGTCAGTGGATAGAGTGTCAGCCTGTGGACAGAAGAGCCCTGGATTGGAATCTGATGAAGGGCACATGAGCAGGTTGCAGGCTCCATCTCCAGTAGGGGCCATGCAGGAGGCAGCCATTCAGGGAATATCTTAATGTTTCTATCTCTCTTTCCCTCTCCCTTCCTCTCTGAAATCAATAAAAATGTATTTGTAAACAAAAACAAAAACGTTTTTGTAACTTGTCATTTAATAGATTGACTTATTATGAGATTTATGTTTCAATCTTTTATCCACTTTGGTTTAATATTTGTATATGGTGTTTAATAACAGTCCAACTTTACTCCTTCTTTTACATGTAGACATCTAAGTATCTCAACACTATTCGTATATGTGTGAACTGCTTGTATTTGTGTCTCTTTCTCCAATTTTCAGGATCTTAAACGATTAATTTTTTATGTAGGCTACCTATTCCTTTTCACTATTCTCTCTCTATGGGGTTGCCTTGGTGGTTGATTTGTTACTGTCATGAGTTCCTTAAATTCTCTTCACATTTCCAGATATTTGTTGGCTTCTCTTGATAAAAATGTTAATGAATTAAAATTTTAATGATCTATATACAAATTCTTTGATTATTTACTATTTTTTAAAAAATGTATCTTTACTGATATCAGAGAGGAAAGGAGAGGGAGAGACTAATAGAAACATTAGTGAAGAGAGAGAATCATTGATCGCCTGCCTCCTATACATTGAGGAATTGATCCTTCAACCCAGGCCTGTGCTCTTATGTGGGACCAAACTGTGACCTCCTTGTTCATAGGTAGAAGCTCTACCACTGAGCCACCACTCTCAGGCAAATTCTTTGATGTTTTGAGTTGATCACATCTTTCATTCATGATTCTACGCTATTTTTTAATTCATGTTTTATGTAGTTCAATTTCCTCTTTTGGTGTGATGTTTGTAAAATACTTTCTCATTGTATTTTTATTTTTATTATATAATATTTTCGTGATATTATATCGTCTTTTTTCTGCTTCTTTACAACATTAAGATACTTATTTTCCAGTTTTTTGAGATAATTAATGTATTTTCATTAATGTAATTCCAGTTTTTATATATTTATTTTGTTTTCCTGATGGTACACTTTTTCTGTTTTTGATTTTTTTCAAGACTTGTTATCTTTTGTTCAGATTCCTGAATTGTAAAGTAGCAGGCTTTTGAATATGCTTTCTATGGAAGAAACAAATAATAACCTCTGGAAGAAATTCTCCTTTCGGTCTACACTGTTTTCAGGATATGTGTTCTTGGTTCGGTTGTCTGTTTAATTTCCCAGTTGGAAATGTTCTGTTTCCTTCTCAGACAACACGGTGTCTTTTCAGGCTTCATATACATGTTCAGTACCGCAGTTTTTATGGTGCTCAAGCAATTTCTCATTTGTAGCATCCAATACAGGGCACTCACCGTGCACTGCCATTCTGTTCACACTCTATGTCATACACAACAGGCACTTGTTCAAGAGGCTTCAAAAGAGGGAGATCATTGAACATGGACTTCCCTCATACCTCTCTCTCTCCAGGGAAGAAACTGGTAATTAAGAGTGTTTCAATAATATTGCCATTGTGTGCCAGGGAGTTTGAGCAGGTATCATTTGCAAATGTAGGCAGCTCTTTGTCCCTCCTTGATGTGAGTTTTCCTCATTGTACCTATCTTGAGCTTTGTTGAATCCTTCAGTGGGTCTTGGAGTACTCAAAACTGTCATTTGGCCTACAGTTCCTGGTAACTTCAAAGTGCACTCACCACCTGATTGTCAAACTTGAAAATTTGTTTTCTTTCAGGTATGTCATCGGAAGATGATCAGGCCTTTATTCCAAAGCCTGGAATAGAAGATTTATTCTCTGAAATAATACTGGTAAGATATAAAAGGTGTCGCTTTGATAATGTACACTTAATGAAAGCGTTGGAAGAGTGTGATGAGAATAAAGGGAATTAATATAAACAGATCTAATCTGGAATAGTTATCATAACAAAATTGTTGTTACCTATACAGGTCAAGTGTATTATGCTTTTGGGAAACCTCCCATATTAAAGTCAGTTCCATTGGCAGATCAGTGTGTTTCTGCAGGTGAAAGTCGAAAACAACTTTTTATTGTTATGCATTCTTGGAAAGGAAATCTGGAAAAACTAGGAATTATAGTCTGTAGTATAAATAATCCTTTGAATTGCTTAAAATACAGGGTGGGATTATACTTGCATGCAATCATGTCTAAAATGTAGAGATTTATAATGTACCTATAAAATTTAAATGTATTCAAATTGGAAATCTTATTAATTTATATATACACACACACACACACATATATATGTGTGTATATATATATTTTTCACAGAGAGGATGGAAGAGGGCTAGATAGTTATGAACATCGATGAGAGAGAAACATCGATCAGCTGCCTTCTGCACGCTCCCTACTGGGGATGTGTCTGCAAACCAAGGTACTTGTCCTGACCGGAATCAAACCTGAGATCCCCCAGTCCGCAGGCCAACGCTCTTATCGTCTGAACCAAACCATCCAGGGCTTATTATTACTTTTAAATATATTTTTATTAAACTCAAAGAAGTAGTGAGAGGGAGAGAGCGAGAGAAACATCATTGAGCTGACTCCTGCATCCCCCCCATGAGGATTAAACCGGAAACCAGAGCATGTGCCCTTGACTGAAATTGAACCTGGGTTCCTGCAGTCCTCAGGGTAATGCTCTATCCACTGAGCCAATTAGGCTAGGTATTTTATTATTTTTTTATTAGAAAATATATTTTTATTGATTTTAGATAGGAACATAGAGGAAGAGAGAAAGGCACACATCAATGATGAGAAAGAATCATTTCTTGGCTGCCTCCTGCATTCCTCATACAGGGAACCGATTCCAAACCCAGGGCTGTGCCCTCACCTGGAATGGAACCATGACCATCTTGATCATACATTGAAGCTCAACCAATGAGCCATGCTTGCTGGGCAATTTGGCAGTCTTTTATTTTATTTACTAGAGGCCCCGTGCACAAAATTTTGTGCACTAGGGTAGTGGGGTCCCTCAGCCCGTGCTGTACCCTCTCGCAGACTGGGACCCCTCGGGGGATGACCACCTGCTGGCTTAGGTCTGTTCCTCGGGGGATTGGCCCTAAGCTGGCAATCAGACATCCTTGTGGCAGCCCAGCAGCCCTCGGGGGATGTTCACTTGCCAGCAGGGAGCAGGCCTAAGCTGCAGTTGGACATCCTTAGCGCTGCTGAGGAGCCAGGAGAGGCTCCCACCACCACCGCTGTACTGGCAGCCATCAGCCTGGCTTGTGACTGCACGGAGCTCCTCCATGTGGGAGCTCACTGACCACCAGAGGGCAGCTCCTGCATTGAACATCTGCTCCCTGGGGGTCAGTGTGTGTCATAGTGACCAGTCATTCCCAGTCTTTCTGCTGTTAGGGTCAGTTTGCATATTACCCTTTTACTATAAAGGATAGAGGCCTGGTGCACAGGTGGAGGCCGGTAGTTTGCCCTGAAGTGTGTCCCAGACAGGGTGGGGGTCCCGCTTGGGTGCCTAGCCAGTCTGGGTGAGGGGCTGATGGCTGTTTCCAGCTGGTCACACCCCCTTCAGAGTGGCTGGCCAAGACAGCGATGGAAGTTCCCAGCCTCTCCTTTTTTTCTTTTTTTATGCAGGGATTTATTTACCTTCTATAATTGAAACTTTGTTGCCGCTCCAGCTCTGAGGCCAGGGCCTGCTGAAAGCAGGTATCTGGGATTCGTTTAGCTTCTAAAATCAAAATTTTGCTTTCGGAACTTAGAGCCGGGCCGTGGCAGGTGGGGAACCTTGGCTTCCTCCATCACTGGAGCAAGCAAGCCTCCTGCTCGCTTCAGCTGCATAGCTGCCGGCTGCCATCTTGGTTAGGTTAATTTGCATATTCTGCTGATTAGCCAATGGGAAGTGTAGCAGAGGTATGGTCAATTACCATGTTTGTCAATTATTAGATTAGATTTATTTATTTATTTATTTATTTATTTATTTTTAAATATATTAATGATTTTTTTACAGGGAGGAAGGGAGAAGGATAAAGAGCTAGAAACACTGATCAGTTGCCTCCTGCACACTCCCCATTGTGGACATGCCCATAACCAAGGTACATGCCCTTGACCAGAATCGAACCCGGGACCCTTCAGTCTGCAAGCCAACGCTCTATCCACTGAACCAAACCAGCTAGGGCAATTTGGCAGTCTTTTAAACAGGGATTCATTCTTCCTTCTCCGACAATGTTTTGTATTTATTTTTTGTTTATAATTTTAATAAATTAGGAAAGGTTTTTCTATACAACCCTCTTGGTTTAAAGAATATCACATTATGTTTGTTATGGAACAAGTGTACAAGTTTAATGAAGTTATAACTGTCACTAAAGGCCTTTCTATCTCCCATTGTCACTAGAGTACATATAATGGAGAGAGCAGTTATCAATGGATTGAACATTGGAAAAATTTTAAGCAAGAATCATATCTTAATCATCAGTGGAGAAGGGTGCTTGCAGAGGACCATTATAAAAGTGGAAAAGTCATTGACCAAATGTCCAATCCCAATACACATCAGGTTATTCTTATTGTGGAGAAGACACACAAAGGAAGTAAATGTGTCCAGTCTTTTCAGCAGTCTTCAAATTACCATGAACAAGAGAATATTCATTCAGGGGAGGAGGCTGACAACTGGAATCCTTGTGCTAGAATGTCCAGTCAAATATTCAATCTAAATAAAATGGAAAAAATCCGTAATGGAGAAAAATCTTATAAATGTAAAGATTCTGGTAAAATATCTAATTGGTCTTCAGGTTGTATTCCAAGTCAGAAAATTCATACTGGAAAGAAGCCTTATAAATGTGTAGAATGTGGCCAAGTCTTTAGATGGTCCTCAGAACTTACTCTGCATAAGAGAGTTCATACTGGAGAGAAGCCTTATAAATGTAGAGAATGGGGCAAAGCCTTTACAAGATCTTCACACCTTACTATACATCAGAGAGTTCATACTGGAGAGAAGCCTTTTAAATGTGGAGAATGTGGCAAAGCCTATAGATGGTCCTCACAGCTTACTACGCATCAGAGAGTTCATACTGGAAAGAAGCCTTATAAATGTGGAGAATGTGGCAAAGTCTTTAGAAGGTCCTCAGAACTTACTCTGCATAAGAGAGTTCATACTGGAGAGAAGCCTTATAAATGTAGAGAATGTGGCAAAGCCTTTACAAGGTCTTCACACCTTACTAGGCATCAGAGAGTTCATACTGGAGAGGAGCCTCAAAAATGTGGAGAATGTGGCAAAGCCTATAGATCGTACTCACACCTCACTATGCATCAGAGAGTTCATACTGTTGAGAAGCCTTATAAGTGTGGAGAATGTGGCAAAGCCTATAGATGGTACTCACACCTCACTACACATCAGAGAGTTCATACGGGAGAGAAGCCTTATAAATGTGGAGAATGTGGCAAAGTCTTTAGAAGGTCCTCAGAACTTACTGCACATAAGAGAGTTCATACTGGAGAGAAGCCTTATAAATGCAGAGAATGTGGCAAAGCCTTTACAACGTCCTCACACCGTACTAGGCATCAAAGAGTTCATACTGGAGGGAATCCTTATAAATGTGGAGAATGTGGCAAAGCCTTTAGAATACCCTCAGAACTTACTACACATCAGAAAGTTCATACTGGAGAGAAGCTTTATAAATGTGGAGAATATGGCAAAGTCTAGATGCTCCCCAGAACTTAGTCCGCATAACAGAGTTCATACTGGAGAGAAGCCGAGGATATGAAAAAGGACCAACTAGAAATTAAGCATACACTGACTGAAATAAAGAATAATATACAGAGATCCAACAGCAGACAAGAGGATCCCAAGAATCAAGTCAAAGAGTTGAAATGTGAAGAAGCAAAAAACAAAAAAACCAAAAAAAAACCCAACCGGAAAAGCAAAAAGAAAAAAGAATCCAAAAATATCAAGATAGTGTAAGGAGACTCTGCTACAACTTCAAGCGTACCAATATCCGAATTATAGGGGTACTAGAAGAAGAGAGAGTGCAAGATATTGAAAACCTATTTGAAGAAATAATGACAGAAAACTTCTCCTACCTGGTGAAAGAAATAGACTTACAAGCACAGGAAGTGCAGAGAGCCCCAAACAAAAGGAATCCAAAGAGGACCACACCAAGACACATCATAATTCAAATGCCAAGAGCAAAAGACAATCTTAAAAACAGCAAGAGAAAAAAAGTCAGTTACCTGCAAGGGAGTACCCACACGATTGTCAGCTGATTTCGCAAAGAATGTATGCAGGCCAGAAGGGAGTGGCAAGAAATATTCAAAGTGATGAATACCAAGAACCTACAACCAAGATTACTTTATCCAGCAAAGCTATCATTCAGAATTGAAGGTCAGATAAAGAGCTTCACTGATAAGAAAAAACTAAAGGAGTTCATCACCACCAAACCAGTATTATATGACATGCTGAAAGGAATTTTTTAAGAAGAGGAAGAAGAAAAAAGGTAAAGATAAAAATTATGAACAACAATTACATATCAACAAGTGAATCTAAAAATCAAGTGGATAAAAAATCTCAGGAACATAGTAAACTGGTGAATATAATAGAATCAGGGACATAGAAAGGGAGTGGACTGACAATTCTCAGGAGGAAAGGGATGTGGGGGCTGGGGAAAGAGACTGGACAAAAATCGTACACCTATGGATGAGGACAGTGGGGGTGGGTAAGGGCAGAGGGTGGGGTGGGAACTGGGTAGAGGGGAGTTATGGGGGGGGAAAAGAGGAACAACTTTAATGTTCTGAACAATAAAGATTTATTTTTAAAAAAGAATTTCTCAGTGTTACCTCATTACTTTCTTTCTTGGGATGGATTCAGCCCTTGTTAAACGGATTTTGTTGTCAGTTACTTAAATGTTGCTGGATATTGGTCATTCTTCCAAGAGAATCCCAGAGACCATGGCAGATTTGAGGTTGAAAAAATTTTTTTTCATCAGAAGTTTTTTGTCTACTGACAGCATGTCCACAGTTATATTCATAGAAGCGTTAGTTGTCCCTGCAGTGATTTCCTAGCCATGATTGTAAGTCCCAGGGACGGCAGGATAGCAGTGATTGAAATGAAAGCACCACATGCATTCCTTCTCCAGTGTCTTGTGAATTTGTACAAGCTGGTAATAGCAGATGCTTTGCATGGGCCAACCCAAAGGATCACACAATGATTAAAGAAACTGGATATTGGATACTCTTCTGCTCTACTTCCTGACATTCCCATGGAGCATTAATACATATAAGAATCTCCTGTCATGTTGTCTCTAGGTCTCTATCTGGACTGGGGGCTTTATAGTTTTGTTTGGGACAAACTGTTGGATCCAGATCATTGATAGGAATTTGATGTCACCTAGACAAGAGTTCCATTTTCTGGTACTGTAGTGAGTAATATTGAGGGTGTGTATTGATGGAAAAGATACAAAAGATTTGTATTTCACATGGTCATTAGGAAAATAGATGAAGCAGACATTGTTTTAGGGTTAAGAGGGCCTTCTGTCTTCATTTTGTCCAGAATGCATATTCTGCTTTGGGGTGAAAGGCTCTGAGTGAGAGATTTCAACATGTTTTAATCTCTTGGCACAAATGGAGTAATTACTGAAATTCAGAGGTCCACCAAAATATGTATTTTGCCAACCTGTCAAAAAAATGTCTGATTTTGACTCATGCCCACCACACAGCTATTACTGTGCATGACTTTGTCACATTTTATTCGACAATCTATCGGAAATGTAGTTTGTGCTATTGACTACATAGACAGGTGTTTCTTGTTCTAAAAATTCTCGCAGCACACCAGTTTGCCAGTGTGACACTCTGCTTGATAATTTCTGCTATAAACTTATCAAATCCATCTTGTCTAATGAGTCATTTAAGACCAATTTTCTGTATTGACTTTTTTTCTGGCAGATCTATCCATTGACGTCAATGGGAAGCTAAAGTCTCCAGCTAGGACTGTGTTAATTAATTTAAAAATGCCAATAACTATATACCTATAGTTAATAATCACTTACAATATAAATGAGTTAACTGCTTCAACCAGAAAACACAGGGTAGCTGAATGGATATGAGAGCGATACCCATACTTATGCTCTCTAAATGAGACCCATGTCAGATGAAAGTAAAGGGTTGGAAAAAAACTTATTTCATCTCTATCTTTGGGCCCCAAATATATTACTCTTCAGAGAATTTTGCTCTGGTGAGAGCACTAATCTTGGTCAGTGTACATATAATAGGCATGAGGATAACTGTGCTCAGAGTTAGCTGACCCATGTGGAAGTTCTGCCTTTTAGTGAAGTTAGCATGTAAATAGTTTATCATTCCCCAGAAATTTGTTTTCGAAGAAAAAGTAGAAGGAGAAATTCTACATTATTATTAACTAGAGGCCTGTTGCGCAAAAAATTTGTGCACTCAGAGAGGAGGGTCCCTCAGCCCGGCCTGCTCCCATTCATAGTCCAGGACCCCTTGGAGGATGTCTACCTGTCAACTTAGGCCGACTCCCCAGGGGAACAGGCCTAAGCTTGCAGTCAGACATCCTTCTGGCAGTCAGGGAGCCCTCAGGGGATATCCGACTTAAGGCTTATTCCCCCAAGGGATCAGGCCTAAACCGTTAGTGCTGCCACGAAGGTGGGAGAGGCTCCTTCTGGCTGAGTGACACTCCCCATATGGAAGTGCATTGTCCACCAAGGGGCAGCTCCTGCATTGAGTGTCTGTCCCCTGGTGGCCAGTGCGCATCATAGCAACTGGTCATTCTGCCATTCAGTCACTGTGCATATTAGCCTTTTATTATTATTATATAGGATGTCCCTATTTCCCCCCTTTTGCTCCCTCTACCCAGCTCTTGCCCCCCACTTCTCTCTGGCCATCACCATACTGTTGTCTGTGTCCTTGGGTTGTGCATATATTTTCTTTGGCTAATCCCTTCTTTAAATTCACTTCTTTAAAATTTTATTTTCAGATAAGTGCTTATAACTACACTATTATATATTTTGTATTATATCATTTAGAATTAAGATGTTTTTTAATTGAACCCTTGTAAATTTTAGCACAATTTAATAAATTATGCTAGAAGCAATTAGGAGATTTTTCATGTAATGCATACACATTTCAATAATATTTTATTAATTTTTAATTTTTCAATATTTTAATTTGAAATAATCTCATACATGTAAAAAAACCCTATAAAATACTACAGCATATTATGTGTATCCTTCACCCAATTTCTTAGGTGTTAATAATTTAAACATAACCATTATATAACTAACATAATTTGGAATATATTTTTCTTATAATCTCTTTAATGTTACTTAATCCATTTACTTTGTTTTTGTTAATCTTCACCCAAGGATATTTTTCCATTGAATTTTAGAGAGAGTGAAGGGAAAGGGAGAGACACATTGATTGGTTGCCTCCTGTACATGCTTTGATAGGGACTGGGGATCAATCCAGCAACTGAGGTACATGCCATTGACTGGAATGGAACCTGGGACCCTTCAGTCCACGCCAAATGCTCTATCCACTTAGCAAAACAGGCTGCAGCTTAATGCCTTTCTTTTAATCTATATGTGTCTTTATATTTAAAGTGGATTTTTAGATTCACCCTCATAATCTCTTTTAATTGGTACATTTATGCCACTGAATTTCAGGTGGCTTCCGGGGTGAGATAGGTGGGTCCCGGGGCAGCAAGGCATGGTCGGCTCTTGGGGCTTTCTGGGGAGGGCGTGCCTTGCCACCCCGGGACCTGCTGACCTCGGGTACCAGGGCAGCCGGCCTGCCTTGGATGGCGGTGTGCTGGCGGTTCACGCTGTCCCGCCCTACCTGCAGTATGCAAATTAGCCATCATCTTTGTTGGTGGTTAATTTGCATATCGTGCTGATTAGCCAATGGGAGGCATAGCGAAGGTATGGTCAATTACCATGTTTGTCTATTATTAGATAGGATGGCTCTTTAATGAGATTATAGAGACTACTAAATTAATAACATTCATTTGACAATGTACTCCCAAAACACAAAGACTTCAAATATCACAACTTACTATCAATATATTCTGTTGAAAATATATTAATTAAAATTTCTCTCCCACAGTGTTGGAAGGTATCTTATGTTATCAGTTGCCTACCCATGGTTGGACATCTGTGTCTGTTTCTTACACTTCCCTCATCTACAATAGAAATTAGACTTTTCAAAAATGAACAGCCGCCCTAGCCGGTTTGGCTAAGTGGAAAGAGCATTGGCCTGAGGACTGAAGGGTCCCAGGTTCGATTCTGGTCAACGGCACATACCCGGGTTGCAGGATCGATCCCCAGTGGGGGCCGTGTAGGAGGCAGCCAGTCAATGATTCTCATCATTGACGTTTCTATCTCTCTCTCCTTCCACTCTGAAGTCAATAAAAATATATTTAAAAAAAAAAATGAACAGCCCAAACATCATAAATAGTCAGCCATCCGAAAACACTGGTGTGGCCTATCTAATGAATGTTACTGCTAATAGTAGCAGTAATTAATAATAACAATAGGATTTTGTCAAGCTAACATATATGTATCACAGCTATTAATATTACTGACGGTATATTATATGCCCTTAAACTATAAGAAAATATACTAAACACAATATATAATAAGTAAAACAAAACCTGAATCATAATAACAAATTTAATCTCTTCTGCCGTACCAGCATTGCTCACTTATTGAGCATAGTCCTAGGAACTGGCAGGTGAGGGTTCCATTCTAGGTTGGTGCACATGCCAGGGTTGTGCGCTCCATCCCCAGGGAGGGGCATGCAGGAGACAGCTGACCCACCTCTCCCTCTTCTTTCCTCTCTGAAACCAATAAAAATCTATTTTAAAAAATTGCTTGTTATACTTAATAGAGGCCCATAAGACTTGACTGCCTCCCATTTACAGTATTTTCACTTTACAAAAAAAAAACAAAAACTGGCCCTGACTGCCATCCAAGGTTGCAGTCTTTGTCCAACCCCAATGGTCCATTATTTATGAAGAAAAACTAAGACTGAGCCTTCCCAGTACCAGGGCACCTCATTATCCTACAAAAAGTTGGCTCCTCAGTACTTCCTTTGGGTTGATTATCCTAAAGGGAATGTGTGCATGAAAAGGGGACACCTGCTAACTTACCAAGCTCATTGAAGGCCTGCATATCAGTCTTTCAAAGTCAGAGACCTAAAGTAACCAGAAAGGATGGTCTGAAATGAAAATCTTTTTAAAAGCAGTTTATAGCAGGTAGTCAGGTCCTATGCAAGAATTTTCCTTAAAAAGAGGGAATCCTTATCTAAGCCTGTCTATTGTCTTTCGCAGCCAGGATAACATTCCTTTGAATATCAGGATAACTCCCCCTTTTTGAGAGCCCTCAGGACACAACCAGTGCACCAGGGGGAAACTGTAAACCCTCTTGTTATTATGTTAATTGTTCACTGTTAATTAAGGTGTGTACACCTATATAAAAGACATGTATCAATCATTTTACTTTTCATCCACTCCTCGAGGTTTCCTCACCTGCCTCTCTCTCCCCCACCTCTCTAATCTATCACCAATCAATTTCATATAACCCACTTCCATCTTCTCTCTTTTTTTTTTATAAGGGGTGGCAGATGAGTGGTTGAGATTTTTATTGCAGTGAAAGTGGGAGGGAAAGCTAGAATGAACTGTTATCCAAGGGAAAAGAAAAAGGGAAGGCAAGGAGTAGTTGAGGTCAGGGGCCTGGATGGTTGAATAAGACACTGTACTGATAATTACCCGCTGAGATGGCTGACTTCCTTAATTCAAGCTGCTTCTCCTTCAGTGGGGAGACACAAGGGCTGAGAGAGCAGGCTGCCCTTCCTCCTCCCGCTTCCTCACTGAGGTTTTAATGACTCCGGGGAAATTGGAGTCAGGAAGTTTCTGGTTTCAAACTCAATCGGCCCCACTTTTGAGTTCTTTGTAACTTCACTGTAAGAATGTGTTCCCGGCTTGTGAAGATCTTGAGAAAGACACCTCCCTGGGACACCTGCAGCTGAAGGGCAGACCAGCCAGTAGCTCTAAGCACAGCCTCTGGGAGCGAGGAAACTTCTGTGTGAATTCCCCTGATTCCCTCCTGTTTGGTCCCACTTCCAGGAGCCAGCCCCACAGACATGGTGAGACTTTAGGAAATTGCATTGCATTCTCTCACCCCAGCTGGAGACCCAGGTGTTGGTGTCAGCCCTGAGGGGGTGACTAGGTTTCCTTTAGGATAGAAGTGTGCGCTATAGGGTCAGGGTGTGGTGCAGGCGTTGGTCAGGAGGCGGGGAGGCAGAATTTGGTCAAGGGAGACTGATAGAACCTCCCTTTACCCCCAACTGGTGGGCAGAGTATGACCTCACCTGAAGCCTGGAAATACCTGAGTGACTAACCATGTACAGTGGGGCTTTGACTTACGAGTTTAATTCGTTCTGAGACCGAGCTCGTTAAGGAGCTCGTTAACTCAAATTACTCTGTCAACTCAAAGCAAAAAATCGGCAGAGAGACAGCTGGTATCTCAAAAAACTCGTTAGTCGGGACAGTTGTAAGTCAAGGCCCCACTGTACCTTATATGGACTATACATTGGACCACCAATCCACACCTGCCAAATACCCTAAGCCCTTGTCCTATATGGTCAATGCAGTAAGCCACCAATCAGTGTCCGCAAGTACACTAAGCCCCCAACACTTCCCATTCCTCCCCTCAAAAGGTGTGCCCACCCCTGGAGGTGCTGCCTCCTCCCCTTGCGAGACAGCCTGGCAGGTCCTTCTCCTCTAATAAAGCCTGTAGTCCTGGTTTTCCGCCTCTGTCTGATTTTTCAGATCCCAGGGAGCAGATTTCACCAGTGGGTTAGGGCAGGGCAATACTTATGTTCCCTCTGGGGGCGTCAGCCCTCAGCCCCCAGCTGTGCATGAGCTGTGCAAACCAAAGTCTATGCTGACCCCTTGCGCCCGCCCCTCCTTCCCTCTGTGCTTGCGGCCTGCTCTTCTAGCTAGTCCCCCCCCTCCCCAAAGCAGAATGGATCAGCTCAGGCTCTGGCCCCGCCCACCCCGCAGGGAGGCGCATGCGCAGTTCCTTGCAGACGCGGAAGCGGCCGTGGAGGGGAAGGTGGCGGTTCCCCCTGAGGAGGGTGTTTGTCTTTAAAGCTGACGCTGCCCGTCCCCCTCCCCGCAGGGAAGGCTGAGGGCGCTGCCGGCGCTGGAGTCCTTGTTGGGGTCCCCGCCCCGGAGCCTCTCTCAGCGGTGAGTCCGCGTCCCGGGAGGCTGCGCGGTGCGGGCGCCACGTGCCTTTGGGAGTAAACGGAGGCCTTGGCTCGTGGTCACTCCGCCTGTGGCTGTGGCCACCGCCTGCCGCGCGGTTTTCCCGCTGAAAACCGTTCCCGGGGCCGCGGGTGCTCCCCGCGGGGCTGAGAGTCTGAGTCAGTGGGTTCCCGCCCTTTGCGCCCCTCTCCCCGCCCGACGCTTTCCCCCCAAAGAGCCCGGATGGCTCCTGGCCTAGGGGGTCTGCACCCCCCTCCTAGGCCCACCCCCATTTAATAAGGGGTCTGCGTGCCCGGGGAGCACAGTGTCCATTGGGGGGGCTCACGGGGAAGGACGCGGTGTCCCCCGAAGAGGTGACCTGCCCGCAGGGAGGGGCTTTGTGGGCGCGGTGACTGCGGGGGGCGGGGACCCAGGCTGGGGGGTCAGGAGAGGGAGTGAGAGACAGACACGTAGGCGGGAGAGAGGGCAGCGAGGGGTCCACAGAGAGGGGCCCATAGGGGCTGGGCGGGGGCTGGACGGCGACGGTAGGAGTGAGGGGGTCACTCGGGAAAGTAGCCTGAGGAGGAAGGAAGTGGAGACACAGGGAGGAGGGGGGACCCAGAGAGAGGAAGGGGGGCTGAGAGGGAGCGGGTCCTGGGGAACAGAAGTGGGGGCCGCACAGGAGGAGGCACTTGAGACAGAGACACTGGTTCAGAGGGGAAGAGTTGGGGAGCGAGTGCAGGGACAGAAAGGGGGGCTCGGATGAGGGAGCAGAGGGAGCAGCCCTGAGTCAGCAGCTGTGGGAGCGGACAGACGGGAACAGGCAGCAGAGGGGCCACGGGCGTGGGGAGGGGAAGACGCAGATGTGTGTGGAGATGGAGCCTCAGAGACCAGGAGAAAGAGCCCCTGAAGGGAAGTCGGTTTCAGGAGTTTCATGGTCCAGGTGTAGGACAGACAGAGAGAAAAGGGGAGAAAGATCAGGGGAGAGGGGGGGACACAGGAAAGGACCACAGTGGAGAGAAAGGGAGCAGGAGAGAGAGACAGATCCATAGACAGAAATACATGTAGTGGGAGGAGGGGAACCCTCATCTGGGCAAGTGGTGAGCTGATGGGGTGTGGATCATTAAGTTGGGATCTATGGGCTTGTGGCTTGTTGAGGGATGTTTAATGAACAGAAGACGCAGAGGTAAGATGAGCACTCAGGCGATTGATTGACATTGATTTACGGACAGAGGGCTACCGCTTGCTCTGGCATGTAGCAACCTTTATACTCTCAACCATTGTTTTTATTGGGGTTTGGTGCAGGGTTAGTGCGTCAGCAGTTAATCAACTAAATTTTGTTTTGTTCTATATTACAATAGGGCATTGAACACAACTTGCAGCTGTGCCCTGCCTTTCTGCTCTACACCCACAACTATTTAATCTTACACTTTCTTAGGGAGGTAAATGTTCCGGGAACTCAAGATTGTGTGCAGTCTTGACCCAGTGTGACTCGCTTGCAAGTCACGCTGTGCTCCTAATGGAACATTCACCTCTTCTTGGCAGGACTTCAGATCCTTGATTACAAATGTCCAGCTACATGGCTTTGTGTGTTTGTGTGTGTATTTAAAGATACGTATTACTATTGATCTCCGGAAGGCAGAGAGAGGGAGAGATATGCAGTTATTGATCAGCTGCCTCCTGCTGGCCCCTCACTGGGCATCAAACCTGCAACCTGGCCATAGGCCCTGACTAGGAATCTAACCATGACCTCCTTGTTCAGAGGTCCCAGCTCAGTCACTGAGTTATGTGGCCTAGGTGTGGCTTTATATATTTAAATTAACAGCTGAATTGTCTTAGTTATACAGATTTGAATGACAATTATAAATGTCCACTGTATAAGGCTTAGGAATTTTATAATTATTTCCTTCCAATTGCAAACTTCATTCACTCAGAGGGGAGATACTTGTCTGTTGGTCATGGGTCCCTTGTCATTTCCTGGTATGGCAAGGAGTAAGTCACCTGTGTCTGTCATCATCTGATGCTTTTTAAAGGAATATTCGAAGCCTTAGTTTTGTTCCTGTGGTTGGTGGTGTCTGTGTGTGTGTGTGTGTGTGTGTGTGTGTTACTTTCCTGAATTTACTTTTTCTATGTCTGATAATTTGTTATTTAAAAACATCCTGAGATAAATCCTCTGGCTCTTCTCAGTTCCCCAGAGGAGCTTTAAGATATGCCCTCAGGTGTGCTTTCCCCCATAGAGTTGGATAGCTCCTCTAGGTGGGGCATCATGGGTTATTGAGCTGCTCTAGGTGATTGGAAGGTGAGGACAGGGATTAGCTGGAGGGTTGCAGGATGCCTTTGTGAGAGTGGGGAGCAAAATTTGTTCAGGGGAGGTAAGGGGGTGCTCTTTGGTTTAGGAGGTCAGGATAGCAGCCCACCTTCTCATTTCTGTAGGAGTTTGTGAAAGTCTTTGGGAGGAGAGACGCATGAACGCATACACTCAAAAATTCACAGTAGGGTCTCCATGTAGGAGCTCATTGTTCCTGTCTCTCTCCTGTGACCAAGGACAGGAGGGGTGTCCTTTTCCTCATTTCCAGGTCCTTCTGACTGTGAATGTGAGGTGAGCTGATTAAAAGGCTGTAACTCCTCAACATAGTGTCACTTGAGGAAACAACCCAGACCGTGATCAGGACCAGGACCCAATGGCTGCTTCTCAGGTATCAGATGTGTCCTCTGTCAGATGCTGTGTTTGCTTTTCCTCTAACATCTATTTATTTATTTCTCTTTCTGGTGTTCTTGCCTTTTCAGGTTGTTTTTCTTTCCTTATTTCATTACTTTATTGATCATAGTCAATGTCAGCAGTTTCTATATTTCTCTCTTTTTTAAAAAATATTTTTATTGATTTCAGAATGGATAGGAGAGGGAGAGAGAGAGAGAAATATCAATTACGTTAGAGAATTATGGATCAGCTGCCTCCTGCACCCCACCCTGCACTGGGTATGGAGTGAGCCCTGACCAGGAATCTAAGCCTGCCCTCCTGGTTCATAGGTCAGCCCTTTACATCTCAGCCATACTGGCTGGGCTATAATCCCCTCCTTTGTGCCAGAGCCGTGTCTGCACTCATTTTGTCACCCTCACAGGTCAGGAAGCATTCCTACCTTTAATTAGTGACTCAACTAATCAAAACATTTCTTTTGTGACAGATCAAACTTGGAAGGCAGCCATGTCTAACATCCCTACTGGGATGGGGTCAGAGGCTCAGGCATCAGTGAAGAAGGAAAATGCAGGTTTTAGGTTCACGTGGCTGCAGCATGAGCTCTAGATCAGGGGTAAGAAGTTGCACATTTGCCGAAATCGGTTTGGCTCCGTGGATAGAGCGTCGGCCTGCAGACTGAAAGGTCCCGGGTTCGATTCCGGTCAAGGGCATGTACCTGGGTTGCGGGCATATCCCCAGTGGGAGATGTGCAGGAGGCAGGTGATCGATGTTTCTCTCTCATCGATGTTTCTAACTCTCTATCTCTCTCCCTTCCTCTCTGTAATAAATCAATAAAAAATATATATATATAAAAAAAAGAAGTTGCACATTTTACTGCTCAGAATAGCTCAGAAAGTTCTGAAAAGAAGGGCAAATAGAAGAAACTTGCTCATTAGATTACTATGAAAGACTTGGGAAGTACATGTTCTATTAGCTTACAGAACATGAGAGGTACACGTGGATTGACACATGCAAAAATAAATGTTTATTTGTGTTCATTTCCAGAAATTTTTAAAATTTATTGAGGTATTTTTCGCAGTAATGTCACACCAGTGATGACCTGACCTTCCTTGTGCTTCAGTCACCTGATGCCCTTTGTCTCAGTCCACCTGATGTTCACATGGCAGAGGTGCTCCCCTCACTGTAGTAGCGATTTAATGAAAGTTGTGCAAAGACCATCACTTCACATCTGGCAATGTCTGTCCTCTTAGGTAGCGTTTGCTTTAGAAAATGAAAGACTTACTTTTCTTTGCTACAGATCATTAGCTTTTGCATGGGAGCTATAAACAATTAGGCCTTGATTCTTTTTTCTTTTTTTTAAAATATATTTTATTGATTTTTTACAGAGAGGAAGGGAGAGAGATAGAGAGAGTTAGAAACATTGATGAGAGAGAAACATCGATCAGCTGCCTCCTGCACATCTCCTACTGGGGATGTGCCCGCAACCCAGGTACATGCCCTTGACCGGAATCAAACCCGGGACCTTTCAGTCTGCAGGCTGACGCTCTATCCACTGAACCAAACTGGTTTCGGCAGGCCTTGATTCTTTACATTTTCCTTGTATTCTATTCTTCCATCATGAACGTACCCTACATGGTCACTTTTTGTGCTTTCTAGAAAGTTTCCAAGAATGATATCATTAATGTCTGAGCAGTTTTTCTAAATTTCTACAACATAGCTCTCCACTAATGATATGTAAAAATTTTGAAAGAAATGTATTAGTAAGAAAAAATTAGTTCCCCCAGGCTGGTGTGGATCAGTGGTGGAGGGTTTGATTCCTGTCCTAGGGCAAGTAGCTCCTGGGTACCTGTGGTAGGCAGCCAATCCATGTGTTTCTGTCTCTCTTCACATTGACCTCTCTCACTCTCTCTGCTTGCCTTTCACTCTACCTTCCTGCCTTTCACTCTCGAAAAGTCAATGGAAAATATCTCCCCAGGGGAGCATTTACAACCACACAAAGGTAACAGTGTGCCTTTTTGGCTTTATATCATTAAGTTTCTCTCTGTATTGTGTTTATAAAACACAAATGCGATCATACACAAATAGATTCATGAGATTTATACAGTCACTAAGCCATTTTGATTTCATAGTTGTAAAATGTGTGTGTGTGTGTGCCTAACCTGTTATCTTTATTTTAGCTATTTTTCTTTGTGTTTTTTCCCCCCAAGTATATATTTATGTATTTCAAAGAAGAAGAAGAAGAGAGGTAGAAAGAGATAGAAACATCAATGATGAGAGAGAGTCATTGACCGGCTGCCTCCTGTACACCCCACACTTGGGATTGAGCCTGCAACCTGCTTGTGTGTCCAGAGCAGGAAGTGAGTGAGTGACCTCTTGGTGCATGGGTCAGCACGCAACACTGAGCCACACCAGCTGGATCTGGCCGAATAATCTTCTTCTACGATTACTCAGTAAATTTCCAAATTAGATTGTAGTTCCTATGTGTCCTATTCCATGAGAACTGAATTCCATTAATAGACACTTTTAGTTCAAAGTTCTGTATGAATTTTTCCTTGTGTTTTCTTTTTCTGGGTATTCAGAAGTTTGGCACATCACTCCGAAATATTGGCATCACAAGTAAAAAGTGAGCTTGTGACACATGTGCAAACACAGGCCCCATCTCAGAACCTGGATCAGCGTCTGTATTTTCACAGAAGTTCTTTTCGTTGTGGCCTGCTTCACACTTGAGAAGAAGTCCATATACTTCCAACCAGCATGACCTTTCCCGCTGAGAAATATACATCACTGACCCTAAATGATGCAAATACAGCCTTCAGAAATCCATATGCTCCTGTGCATTCCTGAATTTTAAAGGTTATTTTCTTGTAAAATTAAATCTGTACTGTGGATTTGTGGACATGTGTCATCCTCGTGTGTCAGTTAGAAAACACATCAGAGAATGTTACTGGAGCCAAGTGATCTCACTGGATAATTCAGGATACCTCTAGGTCAAAACCTCTTCTCCTGACACTCTTTTCATGTTGGGTGACATTATGAACTCTGGTGACCTCTTGGTCAATGTGTGTTTTCTTTCAGGGACTGTTGACCTTCAGGGATGTGGCCATAGATTTCTCTCAGGAGGAGTGGGAATGCCTGGACCCAGCTCAGCGGAAGTTGTACATGGATGTGATGTTGGAAAACTACAGCAACCTGGCTTCCCTGGGTGAGGATGACTTCCTTCCCGATTTCCTACTCCATCCCCAGGGTTTTGTTTCCATTATTATTTTATCATCTCTCAGGGGCTTCTGCTTTTTCTGGTAGATTCTTGCTCTCAAAGAACAAATTGGGCCTTAGCTGGTTGCGCTCAGTGGATCGAGTGCCTGCCTGCAGATTGAAAGGTCCCAGGTTCGAAACCTGTCAAGGGTCAATGCTGGCTCCCTACTCAGTATGGTGTGTGCAGGAGGCAGCCAGTCAACAATTTTCTCTCATCCTTGATGTTTCTATCTCTCTCTCCCTCTCCGTTCATTTCTGAAAGCAATAAAAATAGACATTTTTAAAAAGGGAAACAAATTGGGGATAGAAAAGAAAGGCTTTGTGAAGTATGTGAATTAGGAACTCAGTATACACTTTACATAGTGTATATACTAATTATGATACTATCATAAGATAAAATTTTAGAAAATCATTTTCTAGAACATTCTAACATTCTACCATGTCTTCTGGCCAGAGGACAACTTGGATTGGAAACGGGAAGGCCTCTCCCAAAATATTCCATTTTCTTTAATTTTTATATTTTTTAAGATTTTATTGAATTCAGGGAGGAAGGGAGAATTAGAAAGAGATAGAAACTTCAGCTGGGCATTCGTTGATTTTTTTGTATGTGCTCCGACCACACATCAAACATACTACTTTGGCATATTGGTACAATCCCCTAAGCAACTGGCCTACCTGTGTAGGTAAATTGGATTCTTTCACTTAGTTCTATGCATCTAGGCTTCTATCATGTCTTTTCATGGCTTGATGTATTATTTCTTTACTAGATACCCGGTGCACGAAATTCATGCTAACGGGGCAGTGGGGGTGTACTCAGCCCAGCCTGCACCCTCTCCAATCTTGGACCCCCTCGGGGGATGTCGGACATCCCTCTCACAATCTGGGACTGCTGGCTCCCAACCACTCGCTTGCCTGATTGTACCTAACCACTTCTGCCTGCCAGTGTGATCACTCCCTAACCACTCCCCTGCCAGCTTGCTTGTTGCCTAAGTGCTCCCCTGCCATCCTGATCGCCCCCAACTGCCCTGCCGACCATCTTGTGGCTGTGGTTGCAGCCATCTTTGAAGGCGGGACAGCCAATTAGCATATTCCCTCCTTATTGGCTTTGGGTGCTGACATATTTAAGGGTATGACAGTCAGTTAGCATATTTCCTCCTTATTGGCTGTGTGATCCATCGTCTTTGCGATGGCATGAGGGCTAACTAGCATATTTCCACTTTATTAGATAGGTTAGTAGTAATACTTCATTGTTTGTACTTCAGTGTATTTATCTATTAACTTGTTGATGGACCTCTTCATTGTTTCCAATAATTGTAAATTATGAATAAGCAGCCCCTTGTAGGCTTTTGTATAGATAAACGGCTCAACTTTTTGATTTAAGGTTAAGGAGCCTAATTACTGAGTGTATATTCAGTTTTATAAAACCTCCAGAGCATCTCTCCAATGGGCTGTAGCATTTGGCATTTTCAGCAGCAGTGATTGGGAGTTCGAATTGCTCCACATCACAAAGGCATTCGGTGGGGTCAGTGTTCTGTATTCTGCCTGTTCCATGGTGGTTTACTATTGCTTGGTTGTGCTCTTAGTTACTTCTCATTGTTATAATGTGCATTCCCTTAATGACATAAGACATGCAAGATATTGTTACACTGATTTTCTATGAGTATATATTTTGTAGTGCTGTGCTGTGCGTTAAGGTGTTTGGCCCTTTTCAGGTTGTTATGTCAATGTTCAGTTTGAAGCATTCTTTGTCTATTTTACATAATTGTCCTGTGTATATTGACTTTTTTATTAATATATATAAATTCACTAGATTCCTGGAACACAAAATACATGCTGTGTAGGGTTCCTAGGCCTGGCCTCCTGGCCTCCTCATTCCCTCACTCCTTCAAAGCCCCTCCACCTCCGCTGGTAGCCCCCTGGTCATCAACGCACGTCATAGCTTGCGATCGAACTCCCGCTCTCCAGGTCAGACTCCTGGACAATATGTAGATTTCTTATTGATTTCAAAGAAAAGATGAGGAGAGAGAGATAGAAACATCAATGATCAGAGAGTATCATTGATGGGCTGCCGTGTGCCCTGAGTAGGACTCGAACCGTGACATCTTGGTTCATAGGTTGATGCTCAACTGCTGAGCCGTGTCAGCTCGGCCATGTTGACTTTTACAAATACATTTTCTCAGCCTGTGGCTTCTTTGTTTTTTTTCTGTTGAGGATGACGATTTTGTTGTTATTTTTTCTTTAATGCTTGAGTTGATACATTGACGTTTCCATTTTAATACAATGGATTGAAATACAAACCTGTTATGCAGTTGCCTTTCAAAAATGTGAAATATGTAAAATGTATGTAGTTTTATATTCCAGAACATGGAAGTTATATTTGCAGCTATTGTGTCATTTCTGGAATAAACATAGTGAGTCACATCGTGAAGGAGATGAGTTGAGATATAAATTTTGTCACCTTGTGTGTATAATCAAATGAAATCTTTTATTTCAAATGCTAAAGGGTCATTATAAAAATAGTCCTTTTTTTTGTTTTGTTTTTTGTTTTTTTTCAATTAAATCTTTATTGTTCAGATTATTACATTAGTTACTCTTTTTTATCACCATAACTCCCCTCCACCCAGTTCCCCGCCCCCCTCCGCCCTCGCTCCCCACCCACTGTCCTCATCCATAGGTGCACGATTATTGTCCAATCGCTTCCTGCATCTTCCACACCCCTTTCCCCCCCAAGAATGGTCAGTCCATTCCTTTTCTATGTCCCTGATTCTATTACAATCACCAGTTCATACTGTTCATCAGATTATTTATTCACTTGATTTTTAGATTCACTTGTTGATAGATGTGTATTTGTTGTTCATAATTTGTATCTTTACCTTTTTCTTCTTCTTCCTCTTCTTAAAAGATACCTTTCAGCATTTCATATAATACTGGTTTGGTGGTGATGAACTCCTTTAGCTTTTTCCTATCTGTGAAGCTCTTCATCTGGCCTTCACTTCTGAATGATAGCTTTGCTGGATAAAGTAATCTTGGTTGTAGGTTCTTGGTATTCATCACTTTGAATATTTCTTGCCACTCCCTTCTGGCCTGCATGGTTTCTGTTGAGAAATCAGCTGACAGTCATATGGGTAGTCCCTTGCAGGTAACTGATTTTCTTTCTCTTGCTGCTTTTAGGATTCTCTCTTTGTCATTTGCTCTTGGCATTTTAATTATGATGTGTCTTGGTGTGGTCCTCTTCGGATTCCTTTTGTTTGGGGTTCTCTGCACTTCTTGGACTTGTAAGTCTATTTCTTTCACCAGGTAGGGGAAGTTTTCTGTCATTATTTCTTCAAATAGGTTTTCAATATCTTGCTGTCTCTCATCTTCTGGCACCCCTATACTTCTGATGTTGGTACGCTTGAAGCTGTCCCAGAGTCTCCTTACACTATCTTCATATTTTTGGATTCTTTTTTCATTTTGCTTTTCTGGTTGGGTGTTTTTTGTTTCTTTGTATTTCAAATCGTTGACTTGATTCTTGGGATCCTCTAGTCTGCTGCTGGGAGTCTGTATAATATCCACCATTTCAGTCAGTGTATGCTTAATTTCCAGTTGGTCCTTTATCATAACCCTAGGGTCTGACTAGATTTCTTGAGGATCTCACTACATTTATCGGCGGTCTCAGCAGTCTTTTTGAGGGTCTTACTAAATTTATTGGTGGCTTCTAGAAAGTTCCTGAAAAACCTTAAAAGTGTGGTTTTGAACTCTATATCCAGACTCTGCTTCTCAGTGTCCCAGTAATCGCTGCAAGCCCCACGGAGAGAAAGTTGCCCTAGGGTTCTGAGCAATGCCAGACAGTCCCACTTCTCCCATATGAGTCTGGGTGCCCAGAACTGGAGTTCAGAGTCTGAGACTCCCTCCCGATTGAAAATGACAACCGCGCCCTCAGCCGCCAGCCTGCTCTGCATGCACTCCGCACCTTAGTATTTTACTTCAGCACTGCGCCTCCTCTGAGTCTCAGTATGTTTTTCTCTTTCCTCCTAGTTGTAGAACTTCCACTCAGCCAGCCTTCCTGTGGTTCTGGATGATGTCCGTTCCGTCTTTTAGTTGTATTTTTGAAGTGGTTGTTCGAGGCAGCAAACTCCGGTGTTTACCTATGCCGCCATCTTGGTTTCTCCAAAAATAGTCCTTTTTTTATCAGTCCGATATCTTCACTATTGCAAATAGTGCTGCAATGGATATATGGCTGGGTATATCTTTTTTAATTCATGTTCTCTATGAATTCCTGGAAATGGAATCGCTGTGTTAACTGGTACTTTTTTGTAAATATTGGAAAACCCTCCATCATGTTTTGTAAGTGGCTGCAAGAATCTTTCTATATATATATAAAAGCCTAAGTGACTGGTCAACCAGTTGCAATGACGACACACTGACCACCAGGAGGCAGATGCTTAACACAGGAACTGCGCCCTGGTGGTCAGTCCGCTTCCACAGCCAACCACCCTTGGTTGGCCAACCACCTGTGGTCCCTCCCACTGGCCAGCCAGCCCAGATTGCCAGCCAGGCCGAGGGACCCCACCTGGGCACAAATTTGTGCACTGGGCCTCTAGTATGTTTATAATTTTGCTGGCAGTGCACGAATGTTCTCCTTTCTCCATTTCATTGGTAATACTTGCCATTTTTTGATTTAGGGATGATTGGCATCCTTTTAGATTTTTGGTGATATTTAATGATGGTGTCCATTTGCATTTCTCTGATGATGAGTGAGTTGAATATTTAATATGTCTATTGTGCATCTTTATGTCCCGTTTGGGAAATGTCTATTCAGGTCCTCTGCTCATTTTTCAGTCAAATTGTTTGTCTTTTTGGTGTTAAGTTGTATGAGCTCCTTATATATTTTGGCTCTTTAGCTTTAGAGGATGTAACAATGCTGGGCTTTTGTGGTTGTTATTATTTTGTGGTTTCTTTGGTATGCCA